AGCCCCATGTCCCATCTGTATTCTCGTGCTGCCCTAGTAAGTGTCCTCACTCCCCTTCCCCCTGCAGGTGGTATGGGCAGGACAACACGTGTGAGGAGTACCACACAGTGGGACCTCACTCCTGTCACATCCCTAAGGACCTGGCCCTCTTTACCCCCTACGAGATCTGGGTGGAAGCCACCAACAGGCTGGGCTCGGCCCGCTCAGACGTGCTCACACTGGACATCCTGGATGTGGGTGAGACACCCCTCCGGGTGCATCCTGCCCCCGACCAAGCCCAACCATGGCTGCATCTCTGGTCCAACACTGATGGTTGGAGTACCCATTGATCCCTAGCCCCTTGAATTAGCCAGGATATTTCCACTCTGAGGAGAATACCTGGCCTGGCCCCCTTCTCCGAAGCCCAGGTATGCTGGAGGGCCCCCACCCCTTGCCTGGGAGGGGATGCCCAGGTCTCAGGCACCCCAGGAAGCCACAGCCTGGAGCTGGGGGTGGGGGGTGTTCCAGGCAGGAGGCAGGAAATGGATGATCTGCAGCAGAATTGGGCCTAATCTAATTAGGGTGTTTCTCAGCCCTGAGCAGGCCTGTGCCTTAACCCTTTCGGCCCCTCTCCAAGGCCTCAGGGGGAGAGCCAGCTCTCCCTCCTTCCCACAGGGCTCCCAGAAGGATCCCAGATTCCTCCTGGCTTGGAGCCACCCCTACCCCAACCTGCTTCCCGCTTGCCTCCTGAAGTCTTGAAGCTCCAGTGGGCATGTTCTCAGCTTAAGTTGTCCCTCTGCACCCAGCAAGGCTGTCATAATGATGACCTTTGTAAGGTGGGAAGGAGCTGGAGGTGAGGGATGATGGCCCCCTGGACTCCTGGGAAAAATAATAATAATATCAGCTAGGCAGTGTCTGCTTTTGCAGAATTCCCTGAAGATAGGATTATGTTGCTCCTGTCACAGATAATAATGGTGATAACAGCTAACATTAATTGAGTGCTTCTAGGTGCTGAGTGTTTCCCGAATATTGTCTAATGTAATCCACCCGTTTTCGAGGGGGGCGGAGTGGGGAGAACGGAAGCAGGTGCCACCTAAGCCATGTGCTCTGGGATTTGAATCCAGTTAGGGGCCAGCCAGGTCAGAGGAGCCTGCGACTAAGCCCCGCCCCACCCTGCTCCGCAGTGACCACGGATCCCCCGCCGGACGTGCACGTGAGCCGAGTAGGGGGCCTGGAGGACCAGCTGAGCGTTCGCTGGGTTTCCCCGCCAGCCCTCAAGGACTTCCTCTTCCAAGCCAAGTACCAGATCCGATACCGCGTGGAGGACAGTGTGGATTGGAAGGTGTCCGCCCCCCTCCCCGGCCCCGCCCTGGCTCGGGCCTGACCTGCCCTGACCTCTGACCTTGCACTTGCTGCCCAGGTGGTGGACGACGTGAGCAATCAGACCTCGTGTCGCCTGGCAGGCTTGAAGCCAGGCACCGTTTACTTCGTTCAAGTGCGCTGCAACCCCTTTGGCATCTACGGCTCCAAAAAGGCAGGGATCTGGAGCGAATGGAGCCACCCCACAGCCGCCTCCACCCCCCGCAGTGGTGAGCACCCCAACAGGACTGGGGGATACAGTAACAACCCTTAATCAGCCTGGGCTTCTGTTTTCTTGTTTTGTTTTGTTTTGTTTTTCCAGGAGAACAGAGATCTCAAACTGGTGGCCCCGGGGCCAAATTTGGCCCCTGAATCTATTTTCTTTGACCTGTCATTTGAAACACACACACACACACACACACACACACACACAACTTTGATTTACTTGCAGACATTTAAAATCAGGAAGACATTTAAAATCACATATCCTAGATGCCCTAGGAAAATTTTCTAGAAGATGTAACAGGACATAGCCAGTGTTGTTTAATAGCCCCTATCAGCAAAGGCTGCCCCTTTATGCCTGGTCCTCTCTCTCCAGTTGCCTAATCCCCAACTGGCCCTTTTCACCCACCTGTACCTCCTCCCCATCCCCTAAGGGCAAGTGAGTTTGAGACCCCGCTTTCAAGGTTCATGGGCTGCCAACTGTCCCTCTGATGGGCCTCAGTTTCCCCTTCTGACTCAGGTAGAGGGCTGGGGATGATCAGAGAAGCAAAAAGGGTCTGGCTTCTCTTGCAATCTGGGGTTCCTCTTAGCCCAGAGACCTTCATTCTCTCTTTTGTGAAATGATATGAAATCTGTTACTTGAAATGTCTGGCTTCAGCTTACCCATCTGGAAAGTGGGGACGATAATGACTTCTGTCTCAGGCTGTTGTGAGGTGAGATGCAATGTGATAACCTATGGAAAGTGCCCTCATAGTGAGCACCACCTAAGCCTCCCTCCCCCATGGTTTCACTGAAAGGGTGGCCTCCTTTTCTCAGGTGAGGACACTGGCCCCAGGAGGTTTATCCAGCCCCCAAAGTCATACAGGAATCTGAACTCAATTTGCTGGAAGTCCAGGCCCAGGCTCGCTCCTGGGATGATGTGGAAGCCAAGGCCCAGAGAGGGTCTCAGAACCAGGGAGGGGCAGAGCCTAGCTCAAGCCAGCTAGCTCCCCAGCCCCCATTGTGGGGCCCTCCAGGTTCTGGGGTGGGCGGAGCTAGCATGACTGGGAGGGGCTGAGCCTTGGCCCCTGCTCGTGCCCAGCACCTGCGATTCTTGCATGGGAGCCAGCAGGCGGCTGCGTCTGCAGAGGAGGCTGGGGAGACTGGGGGAGGCCAGCAGGGGCCTGGGCTGTGCCAGGGCCTGTCAGCGGGTCCCCTGTGTTATTTATGACGTGAGGCCGATGTCCTTATCCGCCGGCCTGTTCGGGGCTGGCTGAGTTGAGCAGCTGTGCCGGCAGGCGGGCCTCCCATCTGGCCCTCCCACCCGCTCCCTATCCCATTGGCTTAAGCTCCCAGGGGCTGTCTGTCACTCTGTCACTCTCTTCCTCTCTCTCTTTCTTCCTTTCTTGGTTTCGATCCCCGGGCTTTCTGTCCCCCCACTTTTTCCATACCTCGTCCTCCCTTTGAATTTCCTTGTCTGACCCTCATGGCCTTGGCCTTCCCTGTATCTCCTGTCTCTCTTTGTCCCCATCTCTCAGTCTCTGCCTCTGTTTCTCACTCTCTTTCTCTGCCCCCTGCTTTTTCTCAGCGTCTCATCCCTTGGGCCTTGACCTCTCACCTTCTTTCCAACTCCTTCCACTCACACCTGGCTCAGGCCACAGGAATCGGGTTCCTGGAGGAGATGTGGAGGGGAGGCCCTTCCTTTCCCAACCCCTCCACCTCCTCAGGGGAGCAGCTGGGCTGCTGGGCTGGGCGGTGGGGAGGACCCTGTCTGGCCTCATGGAAATGGGGGGGGAGGTCCCCGAGGGAAACGCAGTCCGCCGCGTGGGGACCCTCCCTCTGCTGCCCGCGCGCGCCCTCTGTCGGGTTCGCCCTGACGCTGCCGCTCCGCCCTCAGAACGTCCGGGTCCCGGCGGCGGGGCCTGCGAGCAGCGGGGCGGAGAGCCGAGCTCGGGGCCGGTGCGGCGCGAGCTCAAGCAGTTTCTGGGCTGGCTCAAGAAGCACGCGTACTGCTCGAACCTCAGCTTCCGCCTCTACGACCAGTGGCGAGCTTGGATGCAGAAGTCGCACAAGACGCGAAACCAGGTAGGAAAGAGGGACCCGTGGGCGAAGGATGAGGGGTGGGGCGGAGAGGTAGGTTTGCAGCCCCCAGACACCGCCTCCTTCCTTCCAAGCACAGGACGAGGGGATCCTGCTCTCGGGCAGACGCAGCGCGGCGAGAGGTAAGGGGGGCCCAGGTGGATGGGTGATAGGAAGACAATGGCCCTTCCTGGTGGCTAATAGGCCGTGGGCCTTCAGTTTTATTTACCAGCATTTACTTAGCACCAACTGTGTGTCTGGTCCTCTGGCTTTTAGCCTAGTAAGAGCACCGAACTCCGTGAAAATGGGCAAAGTGGAATGTCATCCTCAGGAATAAATGAACATACTGGTCCAAGTTAGCATGTTTCAGCACCTACTGCATGTGGCCCTTTGCCAAAGGCTTTACCTGCAGTACACCCACCCCCTGGGATGGATAGATAATTTCAGATGGGGAACCAAGGCCCAAGAGAGGCAGAAACCCTGCCCAAGGTCACTCATCTGAAAGTGGTGGGGCCAGGAACTGAACTGGAGGGCGGGTGGGAGCTCCTCAGTCGCTCTGCAGTGCTGGCCCGTCCCAGGCTCCCTCCCTGCTTAGCCTGGCTTCCCCTCTACCTACAGGTCCTACCAGATAAACTCTAAGGTCTGGAAGCTGCCCTCGCCTCATGGAGACCCAGGGCCAGACACCCAGGCTGGGGCCACCTCTGTACCCTCACTTCATGGTGCCTGAACACCCTTGGCAGGAGCTGGAGTGGGCACTGAACTCCAGGGATCACATCTCTGTCCTATATTCGAAGCCACCCTTGGGTCCACCCAGTGGTGGGGTGTGTGGGGGTTGGCTAAGCTGCCCAGAACCCCTGACAGGGTTGAGGGTGAAGAGGAGTCATTACTTCTCTCACCCAGGACCCCACCAAAGAATCTTTTTAAATAAACGAGCTACTTAGGTGCCCTGATTGTTAAGGTGAGTTTGGGGCTGCAGAGGCCTGGGGTGGGAACTGTAATGGAGACATCAGGATACTTTATGATTGAAATCCTCACCTCCTAGAATTTCAGACATTTTTCTCCCCAGGATTAGAACCATGTTTCTAAGCTCCTTGGAGAGTGATTCAAAACACCAGAATTTGATCAGTCTGGTAGAAGGGAGTCTCCCACCCGCCATCCCTGCTCCTGTAGGGCCCTCTCACCAGGTATACACACCCCAGCACCCCAGAAAACAGAGACAGTAGAGCAGCTGCAGGTGAAGGGTTCTTAATTTGTGTGAGGTGTGGCGACCTCAAGGAGGGTTAACAGCCCAGTGGGGCTCAACCCCAGCCAGCTAGCCATCAAAGCTGGGCGCCCGACCTCTTTCCCATGTCTGACCTCAGCTGGTCCCTGGGGAGTCACCATCACTCAGCAGATTCTGTATCAAGCCTGAGGTCCTAGAGAAACTCGCTGGCAGCTTCCATGGTTTTAATTACCCTATAAGAGTGAATGGGAACTATAAATAAAACCCAGATGGGGCAAATTAGCCTCCACTGTGCAGTTCTCAGCGGGCTGTGGCAAACTCTGGGCTCCCCTGCCTGCCACCAAACCTCTAGGCACCATTAGTTTTCAGGAGGGCCATTTGGGTGCCTGGGAATAGGGGTGTTCCTGTAGGTCACAGTGGGCAGAGAGAAAAGGTCATCTTGGGTGAATGTATCCTATCAAGAGGGTGCATAGTATTACTGTAGCGGAAGAAGGGGTGTGCATGTGTGTGCGCTGGGGGGTGGGGAAGGGCAGGAATGTACAGGCATGTGTCCAGTGGGGCCTAGGTGACGTGTCCAAGCTCCAAGTCCAGCTGTGTTAGCAGGATTTGTTTCTGAGATGTACAGCTGTCCCAGAAATGAATAGCAAGTCTGGTGTGGAAATGGAGGGTGTGTGCACAGGGGGAATGTGCTATATCTGGGAGCCACCAGATGCAGACTCCAGTGTGCAGACCCCTTTGGGTTGTGTGCAGGTCCAGAGGGTCTGATGGTGTCAGCCCTAGGGCACACCTGCCTAGGAGTGTGTGCCCAGCCCATGCACAATAAATCTAGCCAGGCCACTGGTAGGAGGCACTCACTTCATCATCAGCCAGTGCAGCTGTAGGGTGTCCTCTTGCCCTGTCAGCTCTGGTGCCCCCGTGATTGCAGCAGGGCCACCTGGTGCAGGGGCAGGGTAGGAGGGGCAGCAAGGAGGATATCACAGCAGGCAAAGGCTACTCCCTGCCCCTCCATATCAGAGAAGAGACACCAGAAAAGCAGTGAAGGGGTGGGGCCACTGGTAGGGAGTGGCAAAAGGTGCTTTGTGTTGGAGCCTGGGATTCAGTTAAGAGGGACTCCTGAGGAGGGGGTAGAGTAGGCAAGCCCTAGAATCAGCACAGAGTGCCCTGTAGCCTGCACTCACATAGCGGTGGTATGGGACTAGCAGTCAGCTAGGTATTGGTCGCAGGGACAGAGTAGTTGGAGGCTCATGGTCTTGTGGGCGAGACAGAGCACTATAATCCCAGGGTGGAAGTAGGCCGAAAACCTAGACCAGGACCCTGATCTTGGAAATGTGATGGCCATGGAATCCCATGTAGAGTGTGATATGGGCGTGGCTTCACATGGACTTAGTCTGGGAATAGTGTATTTCAGAGGGGATTGCCTGGAAAGGAGTAGTACACAGGGCCTTGAAACCCTAGGGCAAGAGTAGGCTCAGAATTTAGGTGAGGGTCTAGGGTTACTCTGAGGGGAGTAGGGGCCTGAAAACCACCAGGCAGTTGAGGACTGGATCTGAGGCATTAAGAGCCAGAGGGGAGGAGCGTTGTGGGCGTGGGGGCAGGTCATCCAGGGCAGCATTAATGTAACCCAGTGGACAGGTGGGGACCAGGAGGCCAGAGAATCTCAAGTGAAGTCTTAGAGGACGAATGGGGTGGGGTGGGTAGGGGTGGGATCTGGGGCTGCAGGGTCGGGGGTTTTAGTGGACGGGAATCTTCTGGACCTTTGCTTGAGGGCGCAGAGTAGGCCCAGTAGGCCACAGCAGGAGAGATTAGGCTTTGGAGTAGCCGGCAGCGGCAGGTGGTGAGGGTCTGCTACAGCAGCTGTAGGCTGCACACATGGTACGTAAGCAGCCTCTGTGCTCTGGGGCTGGCCAGCTCAGCCTTCACCCCTAGCACCTCCCATGAAGTGGCGAAGGCCTGGGTCACTTGTGCACTGTGCTCCAGTAACGCACGAAGTCGTATGTTGGGACACTGCTCAGGTTCTGGCTGTGGCCTCTGTGGCTGAGGTGGTCCTGAAACTATACCTCCCGAGTCTCAGGCCCTGCACCAGCATCGGCTATGTGAAAGCCACCCCGATAAAGTGTCTGGACCCGAGTATGGAAGACTCGCCGATTTCTGCAGAGGAACTAGGCCCAACTCTGCGTTTGGGGTAGAGATGCCCTGAGGTGTGCATCCTGACGTACCCTGGGTCCCCTCAAAAACCCTGCTCCACCTCTGTCAAAGCCGCTATGCTGGGACCCACCTGCATCCTCGGGCACACCTACCTCTGATGCAAGCAGACGGCTGAACCCTTCAACCCCAGCTCACCCCAGTACCAGCACTTACTCCTCCAGCTTGCAATTGGTGGATGCACTGCACCAGTGTCCAGATGTTGGAGGGAGGTATAAAGCCAGAGCACTCGAGCCCAATCACCTAGTCCTCGCCCTTTTCTGCTCCGCCCAGGTTCACACAGAGCCACAGGGTTCCTCGAATTCTGGGGCTCCTCTGGCTGACACAACTTTGGGTATAAGGACAGTGGGCGCAGCCTTGGATCATGACTGTGCAGCCCTGTCCACCAGGACGTTGCTCTGCTAGGCGCCCCCTACAGAGGGCCGCAGTCTGGAGACCCCCAGTCTGCAGCCCTCCAAACAGGAAACCTGGAAATTGGGGAAGACCAGGCACTAGGCACCCCTCAACCCTTGCTCTCGCCCAGTGCTTCTTTAGTTTGTCCTTGAGTGTATGTCTGGGTATAGAAAGACTGTCCCTCAGTTTGTAGGCTGCTATATGCTTACGTCAACAACGGACCTTTCACACACATTTAGTCCCCACACAAGGAAAACTGTTGTGCCATACAATGCACAAGGTTGTGACAACTGGGACTTCAACTCTGACTGTATCAAGACCTCAGAAATGATCTGAAGGGAGGAGCCTGGGAGCAGGGGTGAGGTGGCTTCCAAGCTTTCCACTGGTGACCATCCACTTAGAAATGAGAAGTTTTCTTCAGGGGTTGAAACAGGACCATTAAGATGGTGGTGGCCTGGCTTACAGAGGAGCAAGTGTAGTTTCACAGGGATGAAACCAAACTGATATGGAAAGACTAAGATTCCAGCCTTTAGCCGGCAATGCAGGTTTCGGCTAATCTTAGGCTCTTTCCAGGACTGGGCTGCCACCTACACCAAGCCCCAATTGTCCCCCTAAAACATGGCTTTCTCAGGGTGTCCAATGAACAGCCCTCATCCAATTTGCCAAAGCATCAGTCTTTAAAAAAAAAAAAAAAGCCTACTCTTTCAAAATCATTGTTCTCAGGCGGGACACTTGTGCTTCTAGATCAAAAATTAAGAACAGGTATTTACTACTATGTAGGGATAGTTCTACCAGCCCCTAGCCTGAGGTCTCCATTCCCATTATAGATGACAGAACTGAGATGGGTGGGCTCCCTAGGATACATGGAAGAGGGCCAGGACCACAACCCATTTTACAGATGAAACCCAAAAGGACAGGACTGCCAAGGGCCCTGCAGAATCAAGTGACATGGAGTCCAGTACCTAAAGGAGATGGCCACTCCTTGCAAACCTTCCCCACTGGACAGACCAGCCACATGGACACCAGTTACTGCTCCAGTCAATGAAAGGGAAACTTTATTGAGGCCCCAGGGTCACAGGGATTAGGCAGAAGACTGCCCTATAGGCCAGAGGAGGTGATGGAGGGGCCTTATTTAACCTTCTTCTTGGGGCGCAGGTTGTTGGTGTGACCACACTTCTTCTTGCGGCAGTTGACAGCACGGGGGTGCAGGCGGGCATAACACCTGCACGGGGGGAGGAGAGACTGGTCAGGGTACCCGACCACTCTCCACCAGGGCCAGCCATTCCCAACCCCAAGCCTGCATACTTGCGGCAGATCATCTTGTCACAGTTGTACTTCTGGGCGAGCTGGCGGAGGGAGGGCTCGATGATGCCACCACGCAGACGAAGCACCAAGTGCAGGGTGGACTCTAAAAGAAATGAGGATTGGGGAGAGAGAGTGACTCAGCCTGGGCCCAGGACTTGGTCCACAGGTACAAGGTGGAGCCTTCTGGTGCCCTATAGACCAGAGCTGCTCAGGTCTAACAGGTACATGTCAGGTTCCTTTGGGAGATGGCCACACCAGCCCTCGGGGAGTTTTGAGGCTAATAAATGCCAACAGTGGTGTCCAGCTGGCTTCCCAACAGGTAAGGTGATTTCTAAGTGGCATGAGGGTGACACTTTATTTTTGCTAGGCAGCATAAAGCTTGACACTGCCAAGAGTGACACTGATTTCCTTTGTAATAGTTGCCATGTTTAAAAACAAATGAAGGCAAGCAAGAATATGGGAAACCACTGCCATTTGGAAACATAGGTACCAATCATGAGATGGATTCCAGGGATGAAAACAGTATCTTGCTCAAGTCTCCCCAACTTCCTGTGATCCTGGCCTTAAGGACTACCCCACCCCTGGTGTCAATGCCCAATCTTGGTCCACAGATACAGGGCAGAGCCCTTCACTGACCTGTAGACCAGAGCTTCTCAGGTCCGATGGGTACTCGTCAGACCCAGACTGGTGTAGGGAGATGGCCACACCAGTCCCCAGGGAGTCTGGCCAATAAATGCCAACAGTGGTGTTCCTGGCTGCCCAACAGGTAGGGGGCCCCTTCATGGGGCCCTGTCCAGCAAAAACACACCCAGTACCTTTCTGAATGTTGTAGTCTGAGAGAGTGCGGCCATCCTCCAGCTGTTTGCCCGCAAAAATCAGTCGCTGCTGGTCAGGTGGGATGCCTATGGATCAAGACAAACTCAGTTACTGAGGCTCTGGCAAGCCTTACTGGCAGCTCTCCCTCCCCCACAAGACTTCTCCATCATTAATCCTGTCCTGGATGGAGTGCCAGCTGGTCCAATCCCCAATTAGGGGTGTGTGAGAGGCAACTACACGTAGATGTTTCTCTCTTTCTCCCTCCCACTAAAAGTAAATAAATTAAAAAAAAAAAAAAGAAAAAAAAAACCCTAACCTCTCAAAAGGGAAACCCAGATAGAAATGACAAGATGCCTTCCTGAGATTATACAGAATCATCGTCAAGGCCTCAGCACCCAGATCTGGCCCAACTTACCCTCCTTGTCTTGAATTTTAGCTTTGACATTCTCAATGGTGTCACTGGGCTCAACCTCAAGGGTGATGGTCTTGCCAGTCAGGGTCTTGACAAAGATCTGCATCTCTGTGTCTGCTGGGGAGGCTAGGACAAAGTAGTGAGTACTGCAGGACTGAGCATCTTGAAACTGGGCCCTGACTGCCAGTCCTGTCCATGGTGATCCCAACTGCAGGCCCACCCCAGTGTCTGTTTGCTTCCATCCCTCCAAGTCTGCAGATGCAATGAGAAGCGTATGTCCTGGGTACCATCTTGACATTTTCCCCAAGTGTTATCTCGAGGTTCCATCAATCCATCCACCTCCCTCCCCTCCTCCAGCCCCTGGATACATGTGATCCACAAAATACCCTTCCTTAAGCTTGGGTGGGAATCCCACCTTTGTAGCCACTCTAATCCCTCTCCTCTCCAACTCTAAGCTCATACTCACTTTAGCTTCCTTCTCAGTTACCCCCAAACTTCTCAGACCACACCTCTTGCCTTTGTTCCAAACTACAATTATCTGGCAACCACGCACCACATACTTATTTACACAGGCCATTTTTTTCCACTTAAAAAAAAAAAAAGCCTACAAGATGAATACCTCTACTTACAGACGTGGAAAAGGAGGCAGGTTGAGACCCAGCTCGGGAAGTGGGAAGGGTTTAATACTTTTAAAAGGAATTGGCAGTGTTTGGCAAGGAAAAACGTTTACATGCTTAATATCCCACCCCATTAACTCAGATCTGCCCAGGAGACCCATCTCCGCCCCGAGACCCCGTCAGATAGCTTGGGCCGGTGGCGCGAGCAAGACGTTCTCTTTCCAAATCAGGTTCGTCTCCCGGGGCCCCGTCGGGGCCTAGAATTCAGGCCCAATATGTCCTGCTTAGCTGACCCGCGGAGCCTGGCCCGCACAAACCGACTTGAGCTGCCCCCTCCGCTGCCCAGGCCCCCGAGTTCCCCGCTGCCTCCCGCTTGACCCAGGCCTAAAGCGAACCCGCACGGACGCCACAACCAACGCACTCGGCCGCCTCGTTGAGAAGAAAGAGGGCGGCACAACCGGAAACCGCCAAATCGCCGCCGAGAGCGCCTGCGCACCGAGCACGATGCACGCATACGTCACAATTCGCGACGCGCGTAGTGCCCCGCCCCGCCGCCATGCTGTGTGCTGGCAAACGAAGCCGCCTCGTCTTTGGGCGAGCGTGCCCTACCTGCTTCCGACTGTGAGCTTCCGCCTCGGTTCAAGTGCGAAGATTGCCATACCTTACCATGTTTCCACCCGCTGTCTCTGGGTCGGCTGAAGACGGCACCTTGTGGGCGCTCGAGTACTTACTGGGTAGAGCAGGCTCTTTTGTGCTAAATCAAAGGCATTAAACAGAGGGTCTACGGGTTCGGGAAGCGGGGGTGTAGTAGACAAGGTAGGAGGAGGCACGGGACCCCCGGGAGCCATCTAGGCACCTAACATCCAGAGTTAGTTATTCTAAACTTTCTACTGGCTGTGCACAGATTTGGGGTGGCGCGCGGGGAAGCTGAGAGAGCAGGGGGGCCGGTGCATTTACTCAAGAAAATGGGGTGGGATCAGGAGACTCGTGGAAGGCTAAAAAAGTAGCAGGCGCATGAAAGAGGCGAGAACCGAAAAGTTACTTGTAGGTTTGGCAGCGTACCTCTTTATTTCCTTGAACTCTTACCGTTACTCCTATGGACCAGGCAAAACAGACACTGTCAGGTCTGGGAAGATGCCTTTAATAACACAATTTCTAAGTGCTTCAAAGATGAAAGGACTCGTGAGTTTCTAATGGGGAGGCGGACCCAGCTCAGAGCCCTGTAACTGAGATCTGGAGGAGTTATTCAAGGAGGTAAGGCATCGATTTCAACTGGTGCCACAAGAATTTTTAAAACATGCAATACCTATTTAGTCAGGGGCAATGGCTTCGTTCCCCTTAGATTGTCAAATAAAAAAAAACAATAGACAACACAATAGCTGTCCAGTGTGAATGAATCAAAATTGCATCTTTTTTTTTTTTTTTGGTCAGGCAAAAAAAATACGTATTTTCTGATGTGTTGCACAATTTTAGTAATTAGTTTATGTGAGCCATGAAATGAAAAAGGTTGAAAAATCACTGAGGTAAGGGAACAGTGTTGTGAGCAACAGTGATAGGAACTTGGGTTATTATGGCTGTCACCACCTGAGACTCCCACCAAGGGCAGCCACATCTTTCTAGTTTAGTGGTGCCTGGCTGTGTATACCCCATCCTGTCCCTCCTACACCCAGCACTTCTCCCCTTTCTGAGCTGATGGACCCAACCATGGAAGAAAGCCACTACTAGGTACACCCTTCTCTTTTTAGTAACGGAGTCCTTTTATTGATAACTCCCCAACAGCATCTGTAAACATCAGATACAAAAATATTCCGTTAGTTTCTGTTTTCCAAGGTGGCTCGCCTTGCTTCATGGAGGCCCTGGGTGAGAGCTACAGGGTCCTCAGAGTCCACCTCTCTGGTCAGACAGATGTGGGCCTTATCACACTTGGGATTGAGTGGATTGAGGAACAGGTTCTTTTGTGAGCTTTCTACAATTGTTTTGGAAGCCTTGAGATACTGATTTGAGAAAGTACTTAATACTTTCGTTGGAGGAAGGGACAGGGAGACCAGAATTGTATGTGCAGGAATGGGGTGTGGTGAACTCAGACATGATAGTGCTTGCCTACCTCAAAGAGGTCCTGACTGGGATGCTGAGACAGGGGATATCTGGCTTTCATCTTTGGGAACCTTTAAGTGTTGTTCAGAGCAGACCTCAGCCCTGGCTCTGGAAAAGCTTCCTTGTGCCCAGCTCAACGACTCCAAATGACTGCTTATCCCCTGGCCTGGAAGAGGGTCTGAAGGAGAGAGATGCTCTCAGTGAGGAAGGAGTGTGAATGACAGACCCTCAGGAATTCCACACCCCTGGGAGGGAGCCTTGTCTCCCAGGGTGCCCTGGATGACAGAATAAGATAGCAAAGCTGACCGTCAGGAGGGCAGGGTTACCCACTACCACCTCAGACACCCGGAGAGCCCTGTGACCCCTCTGAGCTCCTGGGAGCAGGGTTATTCACCCCGCATCTCCTTGTCATCCGTCTGGCTGTGGCCATTGATGGCAGGGGAATCGGGCTGGACGTGGGACAGGTCCTCAAAGCCAGGGCTGAAGGAGGGCGAGATGGTGTCTGGGCTGGTGTCACAGGAGCCTGTGCTCTGTTCCGAGGTGGCGATGGTGGTTGTGGTGCTGGGCGGGATAGGGTCTTCATCGTCGTCCTCCAGGAGGGATGCTTCTGGGATGTCTGGGGAAAGGAGGCCCAGGCAGGAGTAGGCTTAGTGGCTGTGATAAGGGATTAACTGGGCCTGTGATCCCCTGGCAGCGACCTTCTCACCCTGCCTCCATGGGACTCGACTTCATTCATTTTACAGAAGATGGAGCTGAGGCCCAGGCAAGTGAGAGGCCTCCCTTCGAGGTGAGGTGACATAAGGACTCTGGTTCTCTGGATCACGTTGAAGTGGGTGAGCCTGAGCCTAGCTCTGCCCTTGACTATGTCACCTGAGCCAGGCCCCTCACCTGCCCTTGCCTCATCTCCCTGCTTGATAAACTGGGGCTGATGACAACAGCATTGCCTCATACCTGTAGTTGTCAGCAGCAAAGGGCGGGGGAGCTGTTGGCCCATTCAGCACATGGGGTATACTGAGGCTCAGTGTAAGGGAACGCTGTGCTTCCTCTGACAAGTCAGTGCCCCTCTGGGCCTCAGTTTTGCTGTGTGAAATGAGGATACTCACAGCCTCCACCTTGAAAGTGGTTTTGGGTAAGAGCCTGTCTGTAGGTGTACATGACACTCACTGGGACAAGGATTGTCATTTTTCTTATCCATGTTCCCCCATGTCGCCTCCCCCCAGGGAGGGGACCCTACTCCCTGCACTGGCTTTGCAGGCTGCCAAGAAAGCCAGGCTAGCACCGCCACCCCTGCCCTCTGCCCCAGGTCTCTCTGGACCTGCTGCCCACCAACCCCTGAGGTAACCTTCGAAGAGCCAGCCCTGGACTGAAAATGCTGTCATCCAAGTGTTGCAGAGACCAGACATGGGGCACAGGAGCCCTGGGTGACACTTACGGCTGAAGGCCTCTGGGTGCTGCCTGGCCAGCTTCCCTTTCAGTGTCCTGCGGGGGAAGGGAAGGCACACGGGCTGAACCCCTTGAGCAGACAGACTGGGCCCTGTGCAGGCTAACAACCCTTACTGTCAGCTCTGGGTGGGTGGGTGGGTGGGTGGTGGGGACCTCCCTCTCACTGCTGGTCACACAGTTCTCCTGGGTGGGAGGGCCCTATGGAACTCCCCACCCTCGGTGTGGGCACCCTCAGTGAGAGTGTCTATGTGGAGGCTGGGATGAGGCCCACTAAGCAGGTCAGGGGAGGTGGGAAGTGCTGGCTTAGCCGGCACTCTAAACCCAGCAATCTGATTTGCCTCTTGAGAAAAGACCTGGATAGGGGGCTAGGGAGACAGGAGGCTGGCCTTTTAATGTCAGCTCTTTGCCTGCCTTTTCTGCATCATGTGTCTGGTGCTACGCTGCACTTTTCAAAAGATAAAGTTTAAATTCAGAAACTTCAGGATCCCAGAGATCAGATCTTTTTGGATGCTAACTACGTGATGAAGCCTTATAAAACAAGCAAGCTAGATCTCCCTGTCACTCTGTTATGTGGAGTGGGTGGCCCTATTCAAAAGGGGAGGACCCAAGGCTCGGAGCGGGAGGCAGAGGCCAGCAGGGCAAAGCACCCACCTGATCCTGCGGAAGATGCTGTCCAGGTCCCGCTTCATTTCCACCAGGGTCCTCGTGTGGTGCAGAAAGCGCTCACTCATTTGCTGCAGGCGGGCACTTGATAGATTGTTGAAGTTTGCCAGCATCTCATTGGTCTTCTCAAAGCGGTCCAGCCTGTGGCAGAGTGAGGGCCAACACCTCTGCTCAGCCTCCAAAGCTCTGTTAACTGAGCATGCATGCTAAGCCACCTTCTTACTCCATGAGGTTTGCATCTGTTGTTCCCTTGTCCTACAAAGCTCTACTTGATGATTGAGCCACCCAGCAAACTACTATTCAACCTTCAAAACCCTACTCAAGTGTGCCCTTCCTATGTAGACTTCACCCTCTTTCAAGCAGACTCTTTGACTCCCCTAGCCCCAGGTTGTTTCGTTGACAGCCCTGACACCATGACACCAAGAATGTTTGCATCTGGTTTTGTCTTCCCTCATGCTAGGAATTCCCTAGGGCCAGGTCTGAATCTGACCTAAAGAACTAGGAAAAAGATAGATATTGCTGGTACCCAGACATAACTGGCAACTCTGCCACAGGATACCACAGAAGGTAAGGGTATTAGGTCCATGCTGTGTCATAAATGGAAGGAAGAACCTTTGGCCTGAAGACACAAAGATGAAGCCCATGTTTCCACCCCAAGATTGCCTTCTTCCCTACAAGACAGGCCCAAATTAGAATGAGGCCACTGTGACCATGGTGCCAAGGCCCAATGAGGGCAAAGGGGCACTCACACCCCCTTGAAGAGACCCCACATGCTCTGCAGACAGCCTGGGCTCTGAGAAACCAGGCTCCCAACAGGAAGTCAGCCCACTGGCTCCCTTATATCCCCCAGCAGCCCCTTCCTATCCTCCCAACTCTCCCCACTCCAGGATTTGGGACAGGAGCTGTTATGGACCCTGCCAAGCCATCCGCAGCTGTGAAACCACCCCAAAGCCCTGTTTCCTGTGCCAAGGCATCACCTCCAGGCCATGAAAAAATTTCCTTTGGAGCCAGCCAGCAGATTTGCTCATTTCCTTCATTTTATCACCAGTGTGGGGCCGGGGTAGGGGCGGGCAGGGAAAGAATGCTGGCCGGCAAAGTGGATTCCTTCCCACGCCTGGGCCCAGGGCCCTTGGCCACCACTCACATGTTCTTCTGGGCCAGGATGATGGCATTGACGTCATCCACATTCACCATGCTCAGGATGCGGCTGCAGAAGACCCTTGAGGCCGAGTCCGGGGGGTCCATCTCTTCCTCCTCCTCCGCTGCCTGAGATAGGAAGGAAGAAAGTCTTCAGTCTGCACCAGGCACTGGGACAGATGACACAGGGAAAAGGGCCTGGAAACCCCACAGGCTGCTTAACTGTGAGTTGGTCATGCCACCTGAGCCTCAGTTGTCATTTTGGGAATTTGGGGTTTTTCAAGAACTCCAAATTACATTTATAACTTGCACATCAGAATCCCATCTCCTCTCCAGCACCCACTCTCAATGTGCCCAAAGCCAGTGGTACCTTCTACTTGCACAGGTCTGCCCACTTCTTCTCACACATTCCCACACCTACCTTTGCCCAACCCCACTTCAGGGCCTTTGCACCTGCTGTCCCCACTAGCACAACACGCAAAGCTGCCCCCTCAAATCATTACCACCTCCAGGGACTTCGCTCCCAGGAAGTCCTTGGTGACTCTCCCTACTCTGGTCACTCTCATCACTTCATTTTGTTTTCATTGCTTCACTAGCTCAGCTTAGTTATCAGTAGACCCGTTTGCCTGTCTTCCCACAGCAATATCAGCTCTAAGAGAGTCAAAGTGTGTCTCTCTCACTTGCTGCTGTCTCTAGAGCCCAGCCCAGAACCTGGTTCAAAGCAAGGGATCATCAGAACTTCATGTGGCAGAGGCAGACCGTTCAAACTCTGCTCTGACACTAGACTTTTAACAGCAAATTAAAGCCATGAGTTTCAGGCACTTGCACCCAGGCTGTGGGCCTCAGCAATCCTGATGGCTCTATGGCCCTCAGCTTCCCTGGCACACAGATAATCATCCCAATTTGTGGGGCTGCAAGTAGCCCTGACACCATGACAGGATCAGGACACGGCAAAGGCGGCCAGAGCCCTGGTTGGTGTGGCTCAGTGAATTGAGCACTGGCCTATAAACCAAAAGGTTGCAGGTTCAATTGTGATCAGGGCACATGCCTGGGTTGTGGGACAGGTCCCCAAATGGGGGTGTGTGAGAGGCAACCTATTGATGTTTCTCTTGCACATCGATGTTCCTCTCTTCCTCCCTTCTCCTCTCTCTAAAAAATAAATAAAATCTTAAAAAAAAAAGGCCATAGCTTCAGCACTGATCCTCCTGGTGGGGGCCTTCAGGAAAAACCTAGAATCATGACATAGCTTGTTTCTAGGGTGTACACATTTAATGGCCAACAGAAAGACCCACTTGTTATTAGTAAAGATTCACATCCAGGATCAGGAAGAGCTTTTAAAGCCTACTCCCTCCACCCTCCTTTTTACTGAGCACCAACTTTATGGTAAACAAGGTATGCACTTTATAAGTGGGAACTATAACCCTTATTTATATGTGAGAAAGCTGAAGCTCAGAGAGACTGAGGCACTGGGCCATTGTTACACAGCCAGTGAACCTGAGTCACTACTCAAATGTCCATGGTCTGCTGAATCTACAAAGGTGTGAATCTGTACAGATGTTCAGTATCTACCCATGACAACACAAGCAGTTTCTTACTGCAGTTGCTTCCTGCCAGACTTCTGATTTTTTCCCAGGAACCAAAAAAAGCAGGAATAGGGATTTTTTTTCTGTGAAATCGCCTCATTTACAAATGCTAGTAACTAATACTTTTTCCCCACAAACACCATGGAGACCAAGAGTATTTCTGCTCTGAATCTGGCTAGCAGTTCACAACCCCTACCTGCCTTTTGGAAATAAGCTACTATACCACCCAGTGAAATCCTGTCCCTCTGCCAATAATCACTGTTTATTGAACTCCCGTTATGTGCCAGGTATGGGCACCCACAGGCTCCACATTTCAATAAAAGCATGATCATGTATACTTGGGCTCAAAGGGCAGAACCATGTGGTGGGAAGCCCACCACTAAAGACTGGCAAGCACAGGATTTGGACCTGCAGGAAATGGTTCTGCTTCAAAGTAGGGCTGTTTCCTGTCTCTGGCTTCCAGATGTGAGAGATTCAAGGCACACCCTCAACCCCCAGCTGCCTCTCTCAGGAAGGCTTCCCTGACTAACAACTAGTCTGGACCACAGAAGGGTGGAAATGACACAACAAGGGCTCTGGGCCCTGCTCCAAACACATTTATGAGGGAAACACGCAGAGAGGGAGGCTGTGTGACCTAAGGAAAATCACCTCACCTCCCTGGATCAGTTTTCTCATCCAGAAAATGGTAATAATAAAGAATCAGAATCTCACAGTGCTGTCTTTGGGGACTGAAACCAAAGATAAGAAGCTGAACTCGGAGCGGGCTCTTTCTCCAAGGGTAGTGTAAAGAAGTCCCAGGAGGGGGCGTGAGAATCAGCATATTTGACGAGGGCCTCCCTGGTGCTCCCAAGAATATGAGCAAATTTAATCCTCAATTACCCCTACAAGGCAGACACTATCATTCGTCTCCTAGGGCAACTAAAGCTCACAGGGGTGGGATCCGTCGCCCAAGGTCAAACGGAGAGCCGTAGAGGCGCTGCGATTTCACCTAGGTCTTTTAACAGAATTTAATTTGGCGGCCCAAGCTTAGCAAAACCCCGGAGTGAGAACGGGGTTCGCATATCCCCTCGCACCCCACCCCAGCAAGTCGGGGAAACTGAGGCCCAGGCAGGCAACGCCCAGATCCGGGTGACACTGCAGACCTGAACACAGGCGGCCCCAACTCCCGCAACCCGGACCCGGATCCACTTAACAGACGGGGAAACTGAGGTCTGTGTACAGGAGGGGTGTGCAGACGTGGCCAGTGGCACACCCCACCCCGCGACAGTCTAGAGGCCGCACCCGACCTGGCTTGGCTCCCCAGCGGTACCGGCGGCCCCAGCCCCACCCAGAACTTGGCCCAGCGTCGGTGGCAGCGGCACCTGCACATCTGGCGACCTTGCTCGCGCTTCCGGGATGGCGCCCGCGCCTCTGTGACGTCACCACGCACAATGCGTGTGATCTCCGGAGGCGGTGACTTGTCCGGGACCAACTTGCCTGCGTGGAGGCGCGGCAGGAAAAGGTGGGACTTACATGAGTTGTTGTTCGTCTTCACGTCACAACGTATAGCCAATCAAGTAGTCCCTATCGCGTTTGCGTACTTTTCAAAGCCCAAGTTCCAAGGCCGAGTGGGAGGCATTTCATTGTATTAGTGGTGTATTTGCTGACCTTTTTCCTACTCCACTGTCCCATTTAGTCACCTCTCCTTAGACTTCTCCGTTCTGTGGCAGTTCCTCAGTCTTTCCTAAACTCTCATGACCTTAATGTTTTGGAAGACCACTGGTTTTGTAGAACACCCATCAATATGGGTTTATGCAGTTTCCTCAGGATTTGACAAAAGTTGAAGAGTTTGGACAGGAATCTCAGAACGATATTGTGTCCTCAATGCATCGTATCAGGAGGCACGCTATTTTGGCTGACTTACTGCAGTATCTTACCAGTAACTCAACTATCAAGTTATTATTTCCGCCTTTGCAATTAATAAGTATCCTATAGAGAGAAAATTAAGAGACAATGCAAATATCCTAGGTTTTTAAAAAAACATTTTATTTTACTTTTTTATTGATTTGAGAGAGAGAGCTATCGATTGGTTGTTTGACTTATTTATGGAGTCAGTTGATTTTTGTGCGTGTCCTGGCTGGATATCAAACCCCACAAGCTTAGGTATTGGGATGATTCTCTAACCAACTGAGCGGCTAGTTCAGGGCCTTTTTAAACATTTACAAAAACATTACCCACTAGTTTGAGCATCCATCCATGGCTCTTGCCAGTAACAATTTTTACTATATTTGTGTAATGGTGATTTTCTGTTTATTAACTGGAATTCTATTATAAACAAGAGTTGTCCATTCTCCAATTATGCATTTAGTCACATGTTTATATCACCATGAACAAATGAGTATTTTTATACTGTGTGTTGTAATTAAATACTATATTATTTATTTTGCTTTTGCTGCCCGTTTCAGTTAGCACCTATGGCCTGTCAATATGTCTCCATCTTTCTCAGAGTACTTCCTTATTTTTTCCTTGTTTGCTTTATTATTTTAAAAAGTTTAAGATAATTTTATTTTATTTAATAGAAGATTTTATTTATTTATTTTTAGAGAGAGGGGAAGGGAGGGAGAAACAAAGGTAGAGAAACATCAATGTGTGGTTGCCTCTTGCACACCCCCTACTGGGGACCTGGCCTGCAACCATGTGCCCTGACTGGGAATCTAACCAGTGACTTCAGTTTGAAGGCTGGCACTCAATCCAATGAGCCACACCAGCAGGGCTCCTTGTTTGCTTTAGAATATCCTTGGAATCAGCCATTTCTCCAAGGATTCTGGTTCCTTTTCTTGGAGAATGGTATTTAGAAACCAACCTCTGAGTGCTGGGTGTACTCACTGCTTAGAGACCCTCTCAACTGTCAGAGTTAGATCTGTACATCTACTAACCCATGCATACACACATATATACTTCTATATCTGTCCCCCGTGTGCGTACTGACAATCATGAGCAAAATGGGACAAATAGTAATTGCTTAATAAATGCTAGCAATTCATTATCATTAGTTGAGGTCTTATGATGTGTGCATGTTACATGTGTAATTTTTCTGAGTCTTAGTTTGTTAACCGTGAGCCTGGATAATCACAGCACCTGCTGTTGAAAGCTTGGGAGATTGTTGAAAGTTTGGGAGATACATGTCCTTGGGCACACGGAAGACTCTTTAAGGACCTGGAAGGACATATCTGAGTTCTAATTTCCAATTCTGTCACATCCTAGTTGGATGGCCTTGGGCAACTGGCTTAATCTTATGAAAATATGCACATTAAATTCCTTATAACAAAGCTTGACCCATTGTCAGCCGCCGCTAAATTGTGTTATTACCTCCACACTCTGCTGCTTTTATTCACTGAAAAGTTAATGAGGACTAGGATTCTTATATATTTAGTTCAACAAGCAGTTCAAAAAATTGTTTAGTAAACTAGTCACCCCCTCTTGATGTGGCCCATATTCTGAGGATCCAGAGACTACTCAGTCCCTGCTTAGCCCTGGAGGACAAAGGGAGACAGTCTGACACTGACATTCCCAGCCCTGCATGCCACAGTCCTGGGCTACAGGGATGAGAGGCCCAAGGCTGGGGAAATCTGAAAAGTGGCGTATATTTTGACTACAGGGAAGCAAGTGTATCTGGATGGGATTTTGAGGTAGGATTGGGAGTTTCCTAGGTGCTGACATTCATTCAGGGCTGAAGGAATCACAGGAGAAAAGCCTGCATGGTAGGAAAGCACATAGTATAGACTTTATTTTTGTAAGAATTGTGGAGCTCAGTGAGCCAGACAGCAGCCAGTGTTGAGAGGAGTCCACGTAGGGTGGCGGGGGTGGGGGCTGCTGGGAAAAGTGGAACCATGACTCTCTGCAGGCTGCTGCAGAAGAGACCCAGGCTGGATAAGTCAAGCTTTTCGATGAGTCTCTTGGGGCTGTTAAAAGCCCGGAAATATTTATAAGGGTCCTAGAAGGGGGTGGGGTTGTACGCCAGGCCAAAAAGGACTTGGCTGGTCCAAATGTTTTGTTTACTGTAGAGTGGAAACAAAAATATTTTCCTCCTTTGTGCATTTGAGGTAGCGGGTGGAAAGTGAATGAAACACTCAGCCCAGTGATGGGAACATTGGTGGTGGAAAGGCGTAAGTCTTAGGACTGGAAGCTTTTCTATGCCACTTTTTCCAGTTTTATTTCCTACATAGCACTCATCACAGCTGAAATTAGACAGTTATCTACATATTGTTTGTGCAGTATCCAGACCTCTGGCTGAAATAGAAGGTCAATGAGGGAAGGGACCTGGCCCATTGTGCCTTTCCTCACTGTTACTTTGAACTTAGAAGTTACTAAGGTAATTAACTTCTCTGTGCCTTATTTTATAGTGCCTATATATAGAATGATAATAAGAGTCTTATCAAAATGCATGTATCCTAAAGAAGGCAAGAGAGAAAAGGAGCAGAAGAAAGATGCGACAGGGAAGAAACATGTGAGAAGGCAGATTAAGTCCAAATATATCCATAATTACATTAAATGTAAAGAGACCCAATGCCCCAGTTGAAAGGCAAAGATGGGCAGACTGGATCAAAAACCAAAACCTGGTTCTATGCAACTTACAAGAGACACAAGTACAACATAAGTGTACGGAAAGATGGAAGATAAGGGATAGAAAAGGATGGGACCTTTAAAACATGAACCAAGAGAACAGGTATGCAACTTAATATCAGACAAAGTCCACTCTAAGGCAAGAAGCATAGAGATAACAAGGGGCACATTACAACAATCACAAGTTTGTTTCACCAGGAAGATATGATTGCAACTCTATGTAGCCAATGATGTGGATTCCAAATATCAGAGTATTTGTCTCATAAGGCTAATATGAGAATTAAATACATGTAGAATGTTTGCCTACACCTATGATACCTGAGTGTCAGCCATTATTATTGTTATAATTTTTGTGTTATCAGTTTATATTTGTTTATTTTAGTTGTTTATGTGTTAGAATCATTTACTACAGTTCCTCCAGTCCCTGTGACAGAGGTGGGGCTAGATGGGTGACTCCACCTTACAGATAAAGACACTGAATTTCAGAGGTGTACTCACAGGGCTGGGACTGGCCCAGTGTTTATTTGATATTCTTTCCAGGCATTTCTCACATATCCCTGCTGCCCTCCCACCTCTTTTGGCTGGCCAGTCTGCTTCCTTCCTTCCACAAAGATTTTCCCCCAAGTTCCCTCACCCCCTACCTTTTGTGTCATGCACTGTGTAGGCTTCAGAGTTACAATAATGAGAAACTACAGGTCCTTTCCAGACTTTGGGGGTCTTCCCATCTAGTGGATGAAGCAGAGGTTAAGGCCAAGTGATGGCACAGACAGAAGTCAGTTATGAAGTGGAGGTTCAGCATGCTAGGAGAACAGCTAGTCAGGGTGCCTGGCCTTGCCTTGGGGACATCTGGGAGGGTTTCCTGTAGGAGTGATCTACAAGCTCTGATCTAACAAGTTAGTTACCGCCCAAAGCCAGTACCTCCTCCAGTGTTAGCTACTTCCAAAACCAGTGTCTCATTCATTTCATTATTTACTCATTTGTTGAACTGCCATGGGTACTAGGCATCATTCAAGGAGGTGGGGGCACAAAAGAAGGAAAATTCCTTCCAGGAAGGAGCAGATATGGGTGAGGTGGGTCAGAAGCAAAAGAACAAACAAGATATTCTGGAAGGGGGTAAGTGGTGGGAAGGAAAGAGAATAGAGCGAGGGAGGAGTAAGTGCCCCCCCCTTTAAATTGTGATTCATAAAAACCCATCTAATCGAGGCAGCCACCTTCTCCCGTGGCAGTAGGCACCTTATCACCATCTGGCAGAGGGTGCAGGGAGGAGGAACTACCCCCGCCCCAGAAGCCCCGCTCACTCAGTAGCTCACCTAGCCTTTACTGATCAACTTCGGTATGCACCAGGCAACCTTCCGGGGATTATACCACGTAGGGGAGCGGGGGTTGAGTACCCTTGGGCACATCTGCCCCTCGAGACGTCGAGTCTACACGACTTCAGGGTGTGTTTTCCAGAACTCCTTAAGGAAATACTATTCAATGTTACCCTCTCCAAAGCCCCCAAGGTTAGAGTGCATGGACTAACGTGTTCACCCCCATTTAGCAAAAGGACAGGATGAAGCTCAGACCGGAGCGGTGAATCGTACAGGCTGCACAGCGCTGACCGGCAAATGGACTGGTCCAGAGCCCGTTGCCTCCGCCCCCTCCCCTAGTCGCGCGGCCGCTTCTGCCCCTTTAATAACGCCCCGCGGAAACAAGCAGGAAGGGGGCGGTGCCTGAGCCTGAGACGGATGTGCGGTTAGGCCAATGGATATTGATGTATCGGTGGCGGCGGCCAATAGGCACGGCAGGGGCGGGGCCTGGTGCCCGAGCCTA